ATTTTTCTTTATTAATTCGTAATTTTCTTTGTTACGAGCAAATTTCATGAGCTAAAAAAATAAGGTATATCTTTATTATCTACGTGTAATAAGACTTCAAACAGCATATTTGTCATTACAAAATAAATAAATTCCTGTGACGGGGGAAATTTTGGCAGTTGTATTAAATAAGTGTTTCATTTTATTTCTATTTCAGAAGCGACTGAACGGACTCGTGAAATTTAAACAAGATTTTTACTGTTGTAAAGTAAATAATATACATACTGGTTTTGTGGAAATTTAAAGCTGAATTAAAAATATCATTCATTATACTATTTCCATATTTCATACTATAGAATTATTGAAACTAATTTTTTTAGTTCTACATGCAAATTTCGAAAAGCAAGAAACTGCAAAATTGTTTGAATATCCCCAGTTGTCCCTTCAGTCAGCTCGGAAATAAGACTAATTTAAATGACTTTTTAATTCGACTTGAAAATTGCCACACAACCAAAAAATTTATTCAATTTATAACGGCAAAAAATGTTGTTCTAATTTCACGAGTGTCTGTCCACTCATTTCTGGAATAAAATGAGTAAAAAAACTTTATTCAGCCTGAAAATTTCTTCTAAACATGAAATTTATTCATTCTACCACGTCAAAACTGGTGTTTGGATTGCACGAATGTCCGGTCAGTCATTTATGCAATAGAATTACTAAAAATAATATTCGATTTCAAATTTGCAGCTAACCAGGAAAATTATTCAAGTTACAACGGAAAAAATTCAGTTTTACCAGCATGAATAGTCATAACAATAGCTTCTGTTTTTCTAATAAGTTTACGTGTAGATAAAAAGTTTACTATTTATAGATAAATATAAATACTGTATATATATGAATGTATAAATATCTTCTTTTCTGCATCTGCTTAATGCAATACTTCATATTCCGAATTATTATTCAGTCAGCTCTGTGAGCCGCAGTACTGACATATTCACTAACTGTGTTGTAATGCTTTACTTCATTATAGTCGTCACTGTACTCATTATATTCTCTAGGTTCGATCTAGACCACATTCTCGTGCTTACATCCTTGAGGCGTTTGCAGATAGTGAAGAGCATTAGCTGATAATATTACCGGCAAGTATTTTCTATTTCTAATATCGGGCAAAAAATTGAAATAAAATTATCAATTTTTATTTGACTATAAATTTTATCAAACTAACCCAAAATTATGCATGAGAGTTATAATAAATTAGCCCGATATTCGTAGTGAAAAGTACTTGTCGCTAATACTATCGGCTAATACTTTTCCCGTGCATGAGCACCATTTTCGAGTTTCTGACATTGCTGTACCTCGCAGCTTGAACGTTTTCTGAGCTCGCTATTTTGCGTCCTGGAGGCCTCCGTGGTGCTTAATTGGTACCTTGCTTGGCTCAGTCCCATGGTTCACTGATGGTTGACCTATATATGCTATATAACGTAACTACATAGTTCAACAACGTCTTAGTCCTATCTTCCACGCCTAGGCTTGGGTTGTCAGTGGGAGGAATTGACATTTGCATGTCCTCATGTGGTTCAGTCCTGCAAATGAACCTAATAAATACGTCATACAATTCATTATGTTAAATCTAATCTTCTCTTCAAAACTTGCACCGAACTCACGTAATTAGAACCTCTGTAATTTGCAAAGAATTTGCTCTACGTGGATTACAAAGATGTTTTCTGTAGATACCTAAATAAGAATACTGCATGTGGGAGTTCATGTAAGAGGTGAAATGCTACGAATTCTTTTTCGCGCTATTAATGCTTTAAGCTTGAAATAAAATGGTAGAAAAATTTAGATAATGCAGGTTTATTTTACCGTGTATGGTTGTGAACTTGTGATTTCAAATTGTTTTCCGTCCCGTTAAAAATCAAACTAATGTCGAGAAAAATAGATTAACAGCTTTAGCAATTAAAGTAGATATGATTTTTATGACAAGGGATTGCGCGTTGTGTGAAATATGCGCCAAAATATGAGTGAAATGTCGCATTGTTGCTGCTTCCATTTTGTTCATGTTGAGCCCACTATTTTCTCCAATCCAATCATTGTGATTATTTTTTAACATTTTTCTTTATATTCTTCCAGCTTTTTCTCTTAATTGCCAGCTCTTCTCCCTCATCACCCTCACCCATGCCCCTCACATTCAACATATGTAACGAATAAAAATTATTTACTAGAAAATNCAGCTTTTTCTCTTAATTGCCAGCTCTTCTCCCTCATCACCCTCACCCATGCCCCTCACATTCTACATATGTAACGAATAAAAATTATGTACTAGAAAATATCGGAATCTTTGAAAAACGGATTCAGATGCATTTCGGTAGTTGCTCCTAAAGCGGGAAATTTGGAGTGTGGGAGTGGGACTGTGGGAGTACGAGTATCATTGTACGGTTGTCGTCTAGAGTCTAGACCGTAGATGTCTAGTTACCTTAATAACCTTATACGTTATAGTTGGTGAAGAACAAAGAATCTAACGATGGTTTGTCACCCATCATTTGTGAGAGAATACTGAACACCTGGAGAGCTCGCGCCGGTAGAGAAAAAAGGTAACTGAAACAGTGAAAGAAAACGATGAAGGCTTTGATTCACTTGAAGTTGAACTCAAAAACCATTGCTGAGTCCCTGTGTGATGTCACTGTATACTCACTGATGTGTATTCACTATTCAGTATTGTGTTACAACTTACAAGCCATCAACACGTGACTTAAGTTCTTCACCTTCAACCCACCACCACCGTACCACGCATTCAATGCGTGATGTGCAGTTGTGCACGCACCACCACACCACCGGGACCGGGCCGTCCGGGCAGTGCCGCAGTGGTTCAGTCAGCTGAGGCAGGTTCTGAACTTCTGATTGTGTACACTCTACAGATAACAGACTACAGTCACTACACCACTACGCCGCTACGGAGTCCAGGGTGGAATTCTAGAAATGGAAGTTCACTTATAAAAAAGCTTTCCACCCAAGGTGGAATGCTTTCCTTAGATACAGTGCTCTGCCAAGTGCCAGGTGACTGACTATAAATGAAAAGGAGGATCAAAAGTGGACAAACTGTTTCAGTTGTACAGTACCTCAGATTTGTTATAAAATTGTTTGATAGATATTTTCTATTTTTCTTTTATTAATGGATTTTTTGAAAATTATCCAGGCTTTTTGTTTGTCATGATCAAGTTCAAGTTGAGTATTTAGTTAACCAGTACTGTAGACATATACCATATTTGGGGGTGGGGCTTATGGGCACAACCAATCACAGCTTGAAAGCATCTCCATCAACCAATCACAGCTTGAAAGCATCCCCATCAACCAATCACAGCTTGAAAGCATCCCCATCAAGTCAACCAATCACAGCTTGAAAGCATCCCCATCAACCAATCACAGCTAGAAAGCAGATAACATTACAATTTCATTAACCAATCAAAGCTGGAAAGCTGGAAGGGGCTGAAATCACAATCCCATCAACCAATCAGGGCTGGAAAGTGATAGGTTATGTATATGATATGATGGACTGAAAGTGGAAAGTTCCTGGCCTTTCCAAGCTTTCAGGTCTTGCTTTCCAATATGCTATGTGTACTGGTTAATTTAATATCCCTCTAGAATTCCACACTGACGGAGTCTACGGTCGTAGTGAGACTGTGAGAGAGAAGTGTAGCTGTAGGGTACTAGGCTATGCTGATTTCTGAGTTCACTAACCGCACGCACACGGACACGGTCAAGGTCGAAATAGTGACGTCATACTATTGCGCGCCAGCCGCCATAGTCCATACTATTGCCAAAACACTAGGTCTGGATGTCTGGGCCATGTGGCAGGAAAATGTTGAGATCCAAAGAGAGACAGTGCAAGTCACCCAGTGAGAACATCGAAAAATGTATCAAAGTTGAAGTTGATAGTTGACCTTGCTCTACCAAATAGTGATACTAAACTGTTTGTTTTGAAAGAATATTATGGTTTGAGACTTTTAAATAAGTCTGTGATACATGAATATATTAGAAATCCTTTAAGTATACTTGTAAGTTCAATAAGTTGTATTTGCTGATTTCAAGTGGTAAATAAATTAATAGATGATTAAGTTAAGAGACGGTTTTAGACACATGAAAACTAGGGGTAAACGCAGTATATTCCGACACTTTAAGGACGCATCGAGAAATGAAAAACTATAAAAAAAACCGTATGCGTTACGTAAGTTCTGTTGCCTTCACATGACTCTCAAAACACTTCACTNAGTACAATATCTTGATCATCAGGAAAATTCTTGAGTGCGTCTACCTCCTGTCTCTTATACACATCTAGATGTGTATAAGAGACAGCAACAAACGCATGGAACTAAAACAAAGCTTAATATAAAGGAAAAGCTGGAGAGGTGACGGAATTACCTACGATGTCGGAATATACCGCGTTTACCCTAGCAATAAATGGATTTGGTAGGTTTGCATTCTAAAGGCTTTTAAATAAATATGGCAACAGTTAGTGACGTTTCATTGTTGCTGGCGCGTAGTGCGGTGGTTTGAAAGTGATGTAAAGCAAACAGAACTCGAGTTGCGCATATGGTGATTTTTATAGCCATTCATTTTTTGCTACATCCTTGATGTGTCAGAATATACCGCGTTTACCCTACCTATCTATGCTACCTACTGAGTACCTACTAGGCTACTTTCCATTCTGCTACAAATACCGTACCTATAATACATCATTAACATCAGGGAGCAGGCTACTTCAAGCAGATTGCAAATTTGCAGAAGCTGCAACTGCACCATGCACGTCTGCACGTGAATGAGATAAAAACACCCACACATTCACAGGTGGCACAGCCACAGTACCACACTTGATGTCAGTTTAACCCCTTTTTTATTGCCCTGTTGCCCTTGTGCCTTGTCTAATTGCTTCCATGGAAAATAAGATAAAATGACATTTTTTGCAATTTTGAAATGTGCCATAATATGGCAATTTTTACCTCTGATTTTTAAAAAATTTATTTTCAGAATCCAGATTGGCCTACCCTATACTACTGTGAATTTTTTGATAACTTCATGTCCCACTTGTTTTGTCACATTTATTTGAAATAATTTAACCCTACAGACCACAGTTATGTCTGCATCTAACACTAAATATAAACTGAGGCAATTTGAATGCATTGAAGATGTTCTCCAAGAAAACAAGAATAGCAAAGGTATGAATTTAATCTAATATTGTGTTTACCAGAAAGTTATTGGTATAATGAAATTAACAGATAAAGACTGTGTAATGCCAAAATTTAGAGTATTTTGTTCTGTCACTTCTGTGTGAAAATTTAAAGCTCTTGATTTCTTGAATTAGTTGAATATGACTCTAATTGAAAATAAAAGTTCATCATTCAAAATCTTAGTGCAATAATGCCAGATATATAAATAAAATAGTATAATACAATAATAGTATGATTTGTGTCTCTATTAATCTCTATAATTTGGCAGATGGAAATTCTAACTCCGATAGTAGACCTGTGCTGCGGGAAACGTCAGCTCGTCTCAATCGGCCGCTTGAGATGAGCTCCTTGCTACAAAGGCTACCAGAAGAGGCTATGTCTACTGACGATTTCCTTGATATTGCTTCAGGTTATTAAAGTCTAAACATCTTATATATTAGTTCAATTTGTGAATATCAATATTCCATTCAACTAATTAGAAATGCAAAATACCGTACACTAGAAATAAGTCATTTATTCTGGATTTTTCAAAATTTACATTCTGCTTTATGATATCACATTTTTTATAAAAATACATGAAAATGTGCATCATAGGTGTTTTGATTAAATGTGGATAATTATTTTGCATTTGATTTACTATTTATTTGGCAATTTATTTGTAACAGTAAAGAACTCTTTGAATTTATTGTATAAGCATCTGTTATCAGGTCTAGTTGCCAGAAGTGAGTATTGGAGAATTTTGATATTGTGACAGCAAGCAAAAAGACTCTTGAAAGCACCAACAGATAATTTTTGTTAGTTTTTCTACTTGCTGCTTCTCCTTTTGTTATTGAAACGTATTATCACTAGAAATAAAATTTTCCAAAATTACAGGAACTATATATAAATATTTATAAATAAAAATGGAGCAAAATACCGCTATGAAGCCCACTACCCACTATAAAGCTAACCCCACTATAAATAGCCCACTATAAAGAAATACCCACTATAAAGCTAACCCCACTATAAATAAGCCCACTACCCACTATAAAGAAATACCCACTATAAAGAAATACCCACTATAAAGCTATCTTCATAAATTTTCTGGCTTCTAGCCTATTTAATACCATGTTCAATATATTTCTATTCTTTGCAGGGTCAGTTGAAAGCCTGTCTTCTGCGGATGCTGTAGACGCTGCAGGTGGTGACAGAAGTGAACATTTTGTTCACAGCCTCATGACGCCGAGCAAGAGAAGAGGTCGCCCGTCTCTGCTACACACCGTGCTGAGCTCCTCGGCTCAGAAGCGCCAACAGGAGCAGCTTGCTTCTCCTCAGCACATCTTGTCTCCGCTTCGTGAAGAACAGGCATTTTCGAACTCACCTTCAAGGTAATAGTTATTTGATATTACTCGAATATACAGTATGTATAGTGTATTAATAGTAGTCATTTTTTCATATTTTTCTTCCTTCCCATTATTGTTGGTCTGGTATAAAAAAAAACTATCAATTATCTTTTTGGATACTTTCAGAGTTCTAGCTATTTACTATTACTGTTATCAAATCTTTTTTTTTCTATTATTTTTGTTGTTCTCATCATGACTAACACTGTATCAAGAAAGTGAATCGATTTTTTTTACTTTTTTCTACATGGTAACATGTTTTTGCTTCTCTATCTCTGTTGATGTTGGTATCATACTAATGAAATGACTGAAATTCTTGAAAAGTTGTAGCCAATTAAATTCATAATGAATAAAGATGATCAATGGATAATTTCGCTCTACAAATTTTGTACCATGTTTGCAAAGCATTGTAATATATAAGGGATATATTTATGGGTATTTTTATCTGTCTATTCCTCCCTAAACGCAGCAAGACCACACCTGACCGTCCTCAACTCCGGGACAAGAGGGTTAGCAGGACCCCCACAACCCCTCGTGCCCCAAGCAGGGCTCTGCTAACCCCCAAATGTATCCCCCCATCACCTAAACGTAAGATCCTTAATTATAATCGTTGTATATATGAATCAAATGCCAATATAATCTTACAAATGAAATGCCCAGCTAAAAAGCAATAGCAAATATATATTATAACTCTAATCCTCAGTAAATAATGATGAATTTCTAAATATTTTTCTTGTTTCCCTCAATTGTTGGCCTAATATCGAGAAATAGATCAGTTGTATTCTTAGATATCCATAGTATTTTTCACATCGACAATTCTACAAACCAGAATCATTGTCTTGCTATTCACTCAATCTCAACCTTTATTGCTAAACGTAGAGCTTAGCATTTTTCTTGTCTATAGTGGCAGATATATTCTAGTGTAACAACACACCTAACACACAATCTTGTTTTAGTATTAAAACTGTATTACAAACAGTATATTAACACTGTAAATAGTTTATGTGCTGCTATGGTTTAAGATTAAGCCATCTAAACCGAACTTATGGCCATGACAGCTTCGTTGATGGGATTTCCATGTGGCTCTTATGTAATGTAAAATCTTCACCTCACAGAGATGAAAATGTGTAATTAGATTCCTACAGTTAGATTCTCGTTTATTGAATGATTAATTGATTATATAAACGACTTCTTCAAGTCGTGATGCTTTTAATTATTAATTGCTTCCATCCTCTAAGAATTCTCAATCTGATTATACGAATTTTATTCCTGCATGTTGAACTTGAGAGGAAAATACAGCATTGCTTGCTTGCAGGTGGACCACGAACGCCATCTAGCAGACGGTCCCTCGCCCCCCAGCTGGCTGACTCCCCCGCGCCCCCCACGCCAGCCTCCTTCAGGCGCCAGCTCAGACAACGTGTGTGATAAGTCGTGCTACTTAACATCCTTGGTGGGGTAATATCTAGAAAATATAACTCAGTACCAGTGTTCAATAGTGTTCAATAGCCACTATTGAACACTTTCAAATAGTGTTCAATAGTGGCTATTGAACACTATGGTACTCACTGCAGTGAGTGACAGAGAGCGCATTTTCTCGTCGACGAAAACGTGAAGTCACGGACGGACGGACAGACATGACGAGCACAATAGGGCATTTAGAAAATGCGCTTAAAATTACAAGTTTGTGTATAACTCAGCCACTCACTGACAGCTTGCAGAGCTAAACCCACCAATTGCAGACAATAATTCGGCCGCTGCGTGAACTAAGTCTGCTAAGCGTACTTAGGCTGCTACATGTACATACTTGGGTCAATATGTTTACTTAGGTCGTCAAGTGTTCTTGGGTCGCTATGTACATAGGCCGCTACCGGGTATGTGTACTTATGCTGCTATATTAGTATATGCTGGTAAAATTTGTTCCTTTAAGCAGGTTTCATTGAAGACCAGAGAATTCAATACAATAAAAATGTCCTTTGGTAATCTGATTTTCAATTTACTTGTGCAAACGAAAAATTTTTGCTGCTATGTGTACTTGATTGAATTCTTGATTGAAATTATATTCTTTGTGTGGGAATGCTCTAATTCTTTATGATTGAAATTTCATTAACTCACATTTTACGAGATTTATATAATTATTTATCTGGCTCAGTTGTGTTTTGTAACCATTTCTAAATTTTCTATAATTGAACTCCAGGTACGAACAAAATTGTGTATGACGCCGGCTGCTCTGAAGATGAAAGTGACATCTCAATTTCTGATGACGACGACAAGGAGTTCCTGCCTTCAGAAGCCTTAACAAATGCAAGGGATGCGTCTTCTGATGAGGAGGAAGAGGCCATCGTACATCCCATGAGTAAGAATCTCTGGGGGATCAAGAAATTCATTTGTTGATTTTTTTATATGTAAGAGACCATCATACATCCCATGAGTAAGAATGTCTGCGGAATCAAGAAATTCATTTGTTTTTTTATGTGTTTTCGTGTTATTTTTCATGCTTTTATCAAACAGGAGTACACAAGGCATAATAATAGAATATCAAGAATTAATATAGAGACAATATGTTACCTAGTAAATGCTCATAGTAAATATTACCTATACATATTAGAATAAATATATACATAGTCACATAGTACAAATTATTATGTTTACATGTGTACATATTAAAATAAAAACGAAATGTTAACTAGTGAATGCCTATCAAAGGTAAAAAGTTGCGCATGCAACATAAGTGGTATAAAACTCTATAAATCATAATGGGATAGTGGTATATAATAACTCTATAGATCATAATGGAGTGGTGGTATATAACTCTATAAATCATAACGGGATAGAGATAAGAGAGCAAAATGTGCTAAAATAAACACACCATCTTAAAATAGCCTTTCATAAAACTGATAGCATGATTAAAATAAGAGTTAACATAACAAAAGCAATAACATTTGCATTTTTGTTATAAACTTTTGCTTTTATTTTAATTGCAAAAGTTGGGATCGCCAAATATAAACAGATGACTCTTATTGATAATGGAAAAGATAAAAGAATCTTGGTAGAATTTTTCCTCTTTATTTTAGCAATGGAATATGATATGATAATTTTTTGGACAGGAGACAAGCGGCCTGCTGCTGTGGGGGTGAAGACTCCTGTGATGCGCAAGAAGCAGAGACAGGCATCCAATGACGAGGTATGTTTTACTGCTACAAGCTTCTTCTACTATTAAATCTACTTGTTATTTACTTATCTACCTGGGCCTATACTTTCAAAAAAAGTTAGGAGATCAATCCAAAAAGTTAGGAGAATCCACCAATCATAGACAAGAAAATAGAGCGTAAGTACTTACATTCACTTAGCGAGTTTTGAAAGTATGGCCCCTGTTCTGTAGCAACTGTGTGGTATTTCCTAGCTACTTGCTTTATTTAATGTATTACATTATTTTATAGATACCATTTTATAACTATTATGTAGAAGTACCTAAGTATCCTGGCATAAGAAAGTATTTTACATTTTGTGTTGTCTAAGCTTTAGAAATTACATGATTTTAGCTACAGAATAACTGGCAACTGTGTCCATATGACCTATAACAATGGAGTTAATTTTAGACTTTTTCAAAGGAATATTTCTATGCATAATGGTACCTTCATTGATGAAGGTACTGCAGTGAATAGTTATTAAACTATTCACTTGCTGAGGAGGAGAGTGCCAAAATTAACTTGTTTGATTTGAATTGCCTTTGATTAATAAAATTATTTATAAATTAAAACTAATTAATTGAAGTTTATTTGAAGTTCGTCATTGAATTGCCCAATTATTCGATTCTCGACAGGAGGAGAGCGCCAGTAGCGACTTGTACTTCCACCACAACGACGGCACCAGCGGCGGCGGTTGCCGCACGTCAGACAGAACGCTGAGCGAGCTGACCGTGCCGCGTCTGAGCTGCGAGGCCCTCAGGACCATCATGGACAGCGCTGAGGTCGACCACCCGCTCCAGAGGGAGACCCTCCTACAGCAACACTCTGCTCTCTTCAGCAAGTGGTGCACGCTGCTGCAGTAAGTTTTCCCGCAGCAACACTCTGCTCTCTTCAGCAAGTGGTGCACGCTGCTGCAGTAAGTCTTCCCGCAGCAACACTCTGCTCTCTTCAGCAAGTGGTGCACGCTGCTGCAGTAAGTCTTCCCGCAGCAGCACTCTGCTCTCTTCAGCAAGTGGTGCACGCTGCTGCAGTAAGATCCCGCAGCAGCACTCTGCCCTCTTCAGCAAGTGGTGCACGCTGCTGCAGTAAGTCTTCCCGCAGCAACACTCTGCCCTCTTCAGCAAGTGGTGCACGCTGTTGCAGTAAGCCTTGGGTTGTTATGTCATGCCCAACGTATCCTGAGAATTTTTGAATTTCAGTGTAAAGGCAAATCAAAAATTTTTCTGATAATCTTTCTGTAATTGAAATATAAAAAGTAAACCGCTGTAAATCTTTTTTTTTTTTTGCAGAATGCCAGCCTAGAAAATTTTTCATAATCTGCCATCTATTTAGATATTATATCGTTTTGACTTTTTTCTTTCGTATGCAATGAGTTGTGATGGTTCTCTATATCGTGTGAGGTCGATGGTCTTTGATGTATTTTTCTTTCCTTCTAACACCTCGCTGTGATACAGATGTTCTTATGCACTATTGTTAACATAAGGCCATAAGCCATTCAGGAGCTCGGAATGGGACCTGGCGAGCACTGTGTAATTGAACAACCCTTTCAATATCATGTATAAATTTTGAAACTATTTACAGTCACGGTTTTAACGTCTGCACGTATGGCGTTGGCAGCAAGAAGCCCTTACTGATGCGCTTCCAGCAGCAATGCCTCGCCGACACCGACCACATCGTCATCAATGGGTTCTTCCCTTCACTCACCCTCAAAAGTGTATGTACTTAGTGTACTAAATAACTTTCTTCTCTCCCACCCTCAAGAGTGTACTTACTTAGTGTACTAAACAACTTTCTTATCACCCACCCTCTAGAGTGTATGTACTTAGTGTAGTAAACAACTTTCTTCTCACCCACCCTCAAGAGTGTACGTACTTAGTGTACTAAACAACTTTCTTATCACCCACCCTCTAGAGTGTATGTACTTAGTGTAGTAAACAACTTTCTTCTCACCCACCCTCAAGAGTGTACGTACTTAGTGTACTAAACAACTTTCTCCTCACCCTCCCTTAAAAGTGTATGTACTTAGTGTACTAAACAACTTTTTTCTCACCCTCCTTTAAAAGTGTATGTACTTAGTGTATTAAATAACTTTCTTCTCTCCCACCCTCAAGAGTGTACATACTTAGTGTACTAAACAACTTTCTCCTCACCCTCCCTTAAAAGTGTATGTACTTAGTGTACTAAACAACTTTCTTCTCACCCTCCCTTAAAAGTGTATGTACTTAGTGTACTAAACAACTTTCTTCCCTTCACTCACCCTTAAATGCTCTCTTCAGCAAGTGGTGCACGCTGCTGCAGTAAGTCTTCCCGCAGCAGCACTCTGCTCTCTTCAGCAAGTGGTGCACGCTGCTGCAGTAAGCCTTGGGTTGTTTATGCTATGCCCAACATATCCTGAGAATTTTTAAATTTCTATTTCTATAAAAGGGCAGATCAAAAGTTTTTCTGGTACTCCGATTTCTGTAATTGAATTATAAAAAGTGAACTTGAAAAAAATTCGGACAGGGAAGCCCTGTAAAAATATATATGTATTTTTTTGCAGCATGCCAGTCTAGAAAAATTTCATAATGTGATATTGTTTTGGCTTTGCTTCTTTCGTACACAATGAGTTGGTTGTGATGTTTCTCTACATCGTGTGAGGTCTATGGTCTCTTTATGTACTTTTCCTTCAAGCACCTCGATGTGATGCAGACGTTCTTGTGCACTAATGTTGGCATAAGCCACGTAGGAGCTCGGAATGAGACCTAGCGAGCACTGTGTAATTGATCAACCCTTTCAATATCGTCAAAAATTTCAAACTATTTCCAGTCACGGTTTTAACGTCTGCACGTATGGCGTTGGCAGCAAGAAGCCCTTACTGATGCGCTTCCAGCAGCAATGTCTCGCCGACACCGACCATATCGTCGTCAATGGGTTCTTCCCCTCACTCACCCTCAAAAGTGTATGTTTTTTTGTACTAAACAGCTTTCTTCCTAATTATTAAGTCCAAGATCCCGTGCTGTAGTATTAGGAATAGTTATGATTACGTAATTCCGTCAGCTAAATCGCTGACTTGAAAGTGACAGCTACGCGTTCTTGAACAAGATCTAATAGTAGGGCCCAGTCGATAATTACAATACTAGAGCAATAAACGTTTGCTGTGCAGATACTTTCGTGTATTTTGGAGGAAGTATTGAGTATTGACGACGCCCCAACCGGAGTACCAGACCAGCTGGAGCAGCTCTACCAACACTACAGTCGGCCAGCTGTTGCTCCTCTCTACATACTGCTGCACAATCTTGATGGTGAGGTGGTGAATACTGCTGCATAATCTTGATGGTGAGGTGGTGAATACTGCTGCACAATCTTGATGGTGAGGTGGTGAATACTGCTGCACAATCTTGATGGTGAGGTGGTGAATACTGCTGCATAATCTTGATGGTGAGGTGGTGAATACTATACTGCTGCACAATCTTGATGGTGAGGTGGTGAATACTGCTGCACAATCTTGATGGTTGGGCGATGAATACTGCTGCACAATCTTGATGGTGAGGCGATGAATACTGCTGCACAATCTTGATGGTGAGGCGGTGAATACTGTTGCACAATCTTGATGGTGAGGTGGTGAATACTGCTGCATAATCTTGATGGTGACGTGGTGAATACTGCTGCACAATCTTGATGGTTAAGCGGTCATTGCCAGGCAAACCGGATAGTCGTTATGGTGTGATGGTAATGTTCAGGCAAAGCTGTCAGTCTGGATCATGAGTCAATGATGACAGTATTGATGGTGATTGATTTTACGTAAAAAATAACTTGCTTTTTTATGGAATTAATTTCACGTATAAATGTCTGTACAGGAACCATGCTTCGGAACCGCAGCGTCCAGCAGTCGCTGTCGCGTCTCTGTTCCTTGCCTGCAGTGCGTCTAGTGACGTCAGTCGACCACATCAACGCTCCTCTCGGTGAGTGTACAGCACATCAACGCTCCTCTCAGTGAGTGTACAGCACATCAACGCTCCTCTCAGTGAGTGTACACCACATCAACGCTCCTCTCAGTGAGTGTACAGCACAGCCATGGGAAATCAGCCACGCAGCCATGGGAATTTTCTTATTTGTCTCTATTATGCGACTGCAACCCAAATGATTTCTTCATTTGTGGCTGCCCACTTGATACTTAACTCATGATTTATAGGACTACATGCCACTTATTCTCTCTAGTTTGTGAGGGTAGACCGCTTGAATAATTTATTTGTGACTGCATACCTCAAACTCTCAGCATGATTTGACAAAACGTTGCTTATTCTTCCTAGTGAGTGACTATAACTCGCGTGTTTTGTTCAGTTTTGGACAGCGGTCGCGCGTCGGACTACAACTTCATCTGGTTTGACTGCACGACGCTGGCACCGTACACGGAGGAGACTGCGTATGAGAACAGCCTTCTTGTGCAACAAGCCTCCACTCTCGCCCTCGCCTCGCTCATACACGTCTTCAAGTACGAGCTTCTAATAAATTACAGTCAATAATTCTACTATTGGGCTCTTACATTACTTTAGTCAGTAGTTCTACTACTTAGGTCTTACATTATATGGTACTACTGCACAATCAGTAGTTCTACTATTGAGGTTCTACATTACTGCACAGTTAATAGTTCTACTGAAGTCTTACCTAACATTACAGACAAATTTTGAGTAAAGTCGCAACGCGGTAGTTACTATACATTACGGTCGGGTGATTATTGACTTCTATCAAGTCACCTCAATTTCCCATTGATGGCGACATTGAAAGTTTTTCTGTATATTAAGGCTAAAAACGTGTGTAAATCTATTATCATTTATGTTTGCAGATCATTGACCCCGAGTGCGAAGGGCGTGTTCCTCTTGCTGGTGGAATACCAGTTGGAGATGCAACAGGATTCCAATTACACGGGTTCGTTCATGGTCTCAAAAATGACTTCCATACATTTTTTTTAAAGTTTTCTTCTCGTCTGACATAGCATAAATGTCACTTAATTTTCACTCGCGCATTGCGTCCTAAATAATGATATATATACCCATATATACCCTACCAAATAATTAAATAATGTTTCACGTCTGGCATAGCATAAATGTCACTCGATTTTCACTCGCGCATTGCGTCCTAAATAATGATATATATAACCTACCTAATAATTAATGTTTCACGTCTGGCATGCATAAATGTCACTCGATTTTCACTCGCGCATTGCGTCCTGAACAATGATATATATAACCTACCAAATAATTCAATAATTATACAATGCCGAGTTCGTTACTTAAAATACTTAGCCGAGTTGCTTGATTTTTGAGCAACAAGGACATCGTAGCATCGGTATTTATTGAAGATGATATCGAGTTGATATACAGGGTGTCCCAAAATAAACGATACTCAAGTTTAAATGGCTGTAACTTAAAAAGTAATAGACCTCTCAGTGAGTGTACAGCACATCAACGCCCCTCTCAGTGAGTGTACAGCACATCAACGCCCCTCTCAGGCTTTGCAATATATTGGTATGAAGCTAACTAACTGACCACTGAAAAATTCTAGCGCAATGATCAACTTTTAGAGCTCAGTTACTGCTGAATTACTTAAAATTTCACATTAATTTTTACCCATTATCAGACTGTCAACTTGCCATTTTCTTTGGTATTTGACTGCAGGCAACCTATTTTCTTTGTGTTATTTTACTTCAGACTGCGCATTCTCTCCAAAATTTGACTGCAAGCTTTATTTTTTCTCTGTTATTTGACTGTAGACTACCTCTACTTTATCAGATTGCCGAATATTCTTTTCACCCTCCCATATTTAACTGTAATCAGCATGATTTCTAATTTTTGTTTGCAGCCATGGGAATTTTTTATTTGTCTCTATTATGCGACTGCAACCCAAATGATTTCTTCATTTGTGGCTGCCTACTTGAAACTTAACTCATGATTTATAGGACTACATGCCACTTATTCTCTCTAGTTTGTGAGGGTAGACCGCTTGAATAATTCATTTGTGACTGCATGCTTCATACTCTCAGCATGATTTTACAAAACGTTGCCTATTCTTCCTAGAATGTGACTACAACTCGCGTGTTTTGTTCAGTTTTGGACAGCGGTCGCGCGTCGGACTACAACTTCATCTGGTTTGACTGCACGACGCTGGCACCGTACACGGAGGAGACTGCGTATGAGAACAGCCTTCTTGTGCAACAAGCCTCCACTCTCTGTCTCTTATACACATCTAGATGTGTATAAGAGACAGATCTTTGGTGAGAGACAATCATGGCAATCTTTGGTGAGAGACAATCATGGCAATCTTTGGTGAGAGACAATCATGGCAATCTTTGGTGAGAGACAATCATGGCAATCTTTGGTGAGAGACAATCATGGCAATCTTTGGTGAAAGGGAATTTCAAAACCAAAGATTGCCTCTCACCAAAGATTGCCTTTTACCAAAGATTGCCATGATTGAGTCTCACCAAAGATTGTCATGATTGTCTCTCACCAAAGATTGTCATGATTGTCTCTCACCAAAGATTGCCATGATTGTGTCTCACCAAAGATTGTCATGATTGTGTCTCACCAAAGATTGCCATGATTGTGTCTCACCAAAGATTGTCATGATTGCCTGTCACCAAAGATTGCCATGTTTTTGTCTCGCCAAAGATACAAAAAATAAAACAGCGAAAAGAAAGCATGTCAAGACAACGTAATTATTATGCAAAATGATCTTACTAAAACTTTGCGCAAGCACGATTTTAGCACATGTCACTGAATGTTCTATCAAACGCTTCAGGCTACATCGATCTGTCTGATTTTTGGTGGAGAGATGCAGAAAAACATAGGGAACAAATCCTGACCTTCCAAAAATTTTTAACTATTACTTTTCGAGTTACAGCCATTCAAAGTTGAGTATCGTTTTTTTTTTGGGACACCCTGTATACAACAACAAGAAATGAAACTCTACTCTGACCGATATTAAGTGGCTACCTTAGACCAAATTGGATGGGCTCTAAACGCTTTGTTTTTGTGCTTTATAAGTTAATAGTATCATAAATGCTTTAGATATTGTTTTATAGCAACGCGATGAATTATGCAGGGATGAGCGCTTTTTGCGGGTATTAAAACGTGATGACTTTTGTAGGTATCGGTTCGAATTTAGCAAGGATAAAAACATAACAAATTTGTGCAGGTATGAGCTTGACAGAGCTGTACAAGCAGAGCAGAGAACGCCTGCTTGTGAGCGCAGAGCAGACTCTGCGTGTGCAGCTCGCAGAGTTCAAGGACCACAAACTTCTGCGGCAGCGCCGAGCTCTCGACGGTACAGAAACGCTCCTTGTGCCGCTCGACGCTAACTCATTACGAGAGTTTGTTGAGCAGCAGAAGCAAATGGAATGATGTGGTATGCGTTCAGCAACTGGAATGATGTGGTATGCGTTGAGTAACTGGGATGATGTGGTATGCGTTCAGCAACTGGAATGATGTGGTATGCGTTCAGCAACTGGAATGATGTGGCATGAATCGATCAACTGGGATGATGTGGCGTGCATCGATCAACTGGAATGATGTGGCCTGCATCGATCAAGTGGAATGATAGGGCATGCCATGTTGCAGAGATTAAACATAGCGATCTATCGAAAACACGCGTCAAAGACCTCTAGACCACCTATCGAAGACCTCTAGAAATCGTCTGTTTTATTTAATTAGATTCTATCCTAGCAGCATGTGTGCTGCGTCGTGTAACATAGGAAGCATGAACATCGCCTACTATAAACTTCTTTTGAAATTAGATATTAATTTTTCTTTCTTTCTAGTCTGGTTCAGCTATCAAATTATTGGTTAGGTTCATGGCTACAGTGTTGCATGATGGCAAGCTCTGCTGATAAATACATACTTTTCCGAGTTGATCATGCAAATCTTAAAGCAGAGAATTCGTGTGCAGATCTTTTGAACAATTTCAATTAGGATGAAATCACCATTGTTCATTTATTTAATTATGGATAATTTGTTCCTCATAGAAGCTGTGAAAAATGTACCTAATCATTTGTACGGTTTAGAGTTGTCATACGTTCCAGTCATTCGCTTGTATTCTAGTGTCACACAGATTTTGCAAACAATTTCATACGCAATTTATTTTTTGCGCTGTTTGAACCTTAATTAGTAATTTATCCTTGAATACGGATTTTTTACAGTTGTCAATTAGTGTTGAGAGTAAATTTCATAAAGTGAAGGTATGAAAACAACATTTCAAAAAAATTTACTTGTATATACAAAGAAAGAATCTTGAATAGCCTGTTTCATCTATAGAATTGTGCATAAAACTACTACTACATTGGAATAGTATGGATTGTAAATCAGAGTGCGAGTGGAAAATGCTTGCTGAAGGTTCTTTGTCAAAATAGAAATATTATTCCGTTAATAGTAAAAAAAACCGTATTAGATAAATATAGTAATAAATTATGGTAAAGAGACCAATAATTCTATCATTTTGTTCGGTTGTAGCGCTTGCCAATGTCATTGACACATTAGTGATTCATTTGAAGTTAGAGAATTGTGGGAACAAATTATAGAAACTGCGATTGCTATCAAGCAATGGCGTCATCATTTAAAACACAAGCCCTGACAGCCGAATTTTAGATCAACTCATTTTATGAATCGCTTTACCTGCCTGACTGCATTCGCGAGGAACAAACAACAGCCTACTGGCCTCTGCACTTTGAAAAATAAATTATTCATATCGTCCAAATGGTGATACACTTTCTGCATGTAGCATCGATACGCCAATTTAGTCTGGATGACCCACTCGGTACAAAAAGTACATCGCTATTCGTACAAAATTTCACTCGTGTCTCCGAGTGTGAAATATCAATGGTGTCGCACAGAACGTGAATCCTAACGTTAAATAGAGAAAAAACAATCAATAGCATGAGAAGTAACCTAATATCTTACCAGTTAGAGAAGCAATACACAAGAATAAGCGAGGAAGATTAACTAGTGACGGGCGAGTAGTTATCGCTACCTTGTATGTGGCTAGACATAATTCAAGATAAACTAAGACAGCAATGTAGAAATGAAGCACTAAACGTTTTCAAATAGTGATTAGCAAGATAAAATCGCCCTTAACTCTTGTGTTGGCCTCTAATTATGAACGTAAGCCTAATGTACCTTCCAACGATACCGCATTTTCGATTCAACGTCTACGAAACATCCATGAACCTTTCTAGGTTGAAAGTTACTCGAAGTGCGCGTAGTAACTGCAAGTTACATGAGAACATCATTCGTAAGTTTAGAAAAAAAACGGCCAAATACATGACGAAAACCAGTAGCTATAATAATAATATGTGTACGAGACAGAATAACTCCATCTAATATTTGTACTCTCAACATTATGTACAAATTTGTAGACTCCATGAACGCAGCCAGTAGCCCTAATCAGCGGAAACAACATTTGATAACATTAGATTTTTGACGTCGAACATTTTTCGAACTTCTCAGCACAGAATTCAAAGAACATCAACAATGCAGAAACCTGAGACATCATTTATGATTCCAGTATTCATAAACGCGGTATCCTAGATTATCAACAAACCTAATGATGCTACGTAATGAATCATTGTAGTTATGAAGATAATCATGAACCAAGATGTTGACAATGGCTAAATAGTACATCATCTATTCACTTTACAGGCCGATTAATACACCAGCAATGTATGAATAACCATAAGCAATAGGACCTATCATTTTCGAGGGTAAACTGTATCGTTTTCTAATTGTAATATATACAGTGTTTTCAAATTATATCTGGAGCAAATCACTGGAGGGAGGTGATGAAGTGATGAAAAATAGTATCGTCATTATTAACTTGGTGTGCGGACTGCGTTATAAAGAAGGAACTCTACACAGACGACGCTTGGTTCTAGCCACGAAAATAATTAGAACCCTTAACTTGATCTTTTTCAAATCATGGCTACCCAAATCGTAGCTTCAACAATGTGGCACTCAATTGTTGTCCTTTTATCAGCTTTGCAATAACAATCAATTGATAGTAAATTCGCATGCCAGCTAATATATTTGACATGTGATCAATGTCAACTAATATAGTTGACAAAGAAAATATTTACGCATCGAAAATTTACAACCTATCAATGCATCATGTTTGTTACAGAGAATAGAGACAAAAACATCTAGACGAAATAGTGATAGAAGAGCAAAAATTCAAAAGAATCATCATTGATATGAGAATGTGGCTAAAACGTATTGTTAAAACGCCTCAATGACGGGAACAACTTTCACGCGTACGCCTCCTTAATTTAAAGAACTTCTCACGGTCTCATGATAGCTTGATTTATACTCCTCTGTTAAGCGTATAACACCATTCAATTTGAAAAATAATTCTTTTATCAATATCCACAGTGAATATACTTTAACGAAGATCCAAATCTGAAAGGAGGAAATTGCTATCCGTATCCACGAGTAGCATAATATGACAGGGTTTGAATAGTCAAAAAAAATTTATCCGCATTGAACTGTCTTGATCCGCTTCAAAATAGGTTTGCTTACGCGGTCGTGAGGCTGAGAGTGTTGGGGAAACTTTCCTTTGTAGTAAAAAAAAATAACTTGACAAGAGAATGTTCATGTCTGCATCAATCATTGATTAAACATTTTAAATATAAGACTGCAGCAGTAACATTACCATAGCATTGATTGATTTACAAGTCCACTACAAAGTTGGTTACTGTGTAAAATAAGATCTTTTAACAAATTGCGCTTCGACAAAAGAGATGCTTCCATTTAAGACTTCAAAGACAAACGATATAATGTGATTGAGAGGAAAAAGCAGGAGTCATGAGAGCTCTAGCATAAACAAATTCGTGCGTCGACCTGCGAGTGGTGACAAAAAATTACTGGCAGTAAGCAAACTAAATGGAGAGGGAAATATCAAAGAGGAAATTGAAAAATGAGAGATAGAACATTTCCAATTGTGAGGCAGGATTGATGAACTCTAAATTGGTTAAATTTTAGATCAATGATTCCAAGGTTAACCTAAAATTCTTGATTACGATTTCCAGAATTAGTGCTAAAAATAAAAATAAATTTTGCAGGAAGTGATTAGGAAACCATACAATTAACAATACAGAACGAGTCACCCACAATCACGAAAATAAATCAGACTACAAAAAAAAAATAAAAATAAAATCCCCTTTTTAAAGGATTTCTGGTTCGTTCTCAAAAATATACTGGAAATATTCAAGTGGCAAGGCACTCACAGGATAGAACTGAAGATAAGAGGAGGTCATAAACTGGCGCTTTTAGCCACACTGACCACACCCACGCCAGCGAAAGGGTCGCATTTCGCGGCTAACTTGTCATCAGTACATTGATCTGTGGCAGAAATTTTGTTCAGGGATGCATCAGAAGCCGGGGATTTTATCGAAGTTGATATTACTTTTGTAGATTTTGTAGACGCAGAAGACACCGTCAACACGGTTGAAGAGGGTAGAGTTGACAAAACAGTTGATGGTGCTGAGGCTGTAGAAGTAATAGGTGTTGAAACACTCGTAGATGACACGGAAGAGATCAAAGTTTCCGGAGTGGACAGCGAAGTTGTTGAGCGCGGTGAAACCGACATTGAAGTAAGTGAAGGTTTGACGGATGAGACAATGGAATCCGCTGAGGGATTTACGTTGGTACTTGACAGAGTTGGTTCTTGGCTATTCCCTGTTGTGGTCGAGGCCAATGACTTTTCACGACTCAAGCTCTGGGCGATGAGATCAATTTTTGCCGATGGTTTTGAGGAAGACGTTTTCAGGATTCGAGGACTTGAAGCTTTTAGTGGCACGGCAGCAGCAGGTTTCTTGCTGCCACTAGTGTCCTTGACGCTTACGTTGTTCTGGTTACTGACAATTCGGTTGCTTTTGTTAACACTACTGTCAATGCCAAGTGAGATGGATGCAGCAGAAGTATATATCCCATTCGAAGAAGCTGACAGAGGCGCACTTACAGAAGCCGTTGTGTTTACTTTAGTCTTGGTCGTGTTTACGCCGGCATTGAAAACAGTGGCGCCTTCTCTCAAGACACCAATGCCAGCAGGAGAGCTGTTGCTCCCAACTGTTGAGACAGAGGCAGCAGCTGTGGTGACTGCGGCAGCAGCTGTGGTGACTGTGGCAGCAGCTGTTAAGACTGTGGCAACAGCTGCAGCTGAGGAGACTGTGGCAGCAGCTGTGGACATTGTGGCAGCAGCTGTGACGACTGTGGCCGCAGCTGTGGCGACTGTGGCAGCAGCTGTCGAGACTATGACACTGGAAGATGATGCAGCAGCAATTGCAGGAACATCGTCTGACTCGTCGACGTCCATCTTGTCGTCGATAGTGTCGCTCGTATTTGCCGTTACCGGAAGAGATGATTGATGATTGTGTTCTTGATTAGTGACGAGAGAAGTCAAGTTGTTCACGTGCAAGAACTTGGCGACGCTCATGGAGGTGCCATCGCAGTTCTTGATGCTGTGAGAGCGGTAGCCTGCGGGCAGCCTGCCATAGAGCAACGCATGCATCGCTACATTAGGGCGTTGGTTCTCCCTCCAGCGACGTTGGTTCTGCTGGCCCTGCTCTGATGGAGACATGTGAGGACTCGCTGGTTCACTCTTGATGGTGACCACGTCGGCCACGTTGTCGATGGCGATACCATTGCTGCTACTGGAGCCTTTGTTATTTGATTGTTCACCATTAACGTCAGTGTTGCTGCTGCTGCCATTGCTGTTTATGGCAAAACTTTCAACATGACCTGAATTGTTGGTGCTATCACTACTGCTCATATTGCTTGTGCTGTTGTTGCGACAGAGGATTACTCCGTTATTGCTGTTGACGCTGTTGCTGTTGTTACAGTTCTGACTAACCTCATCAATATCGTCCACTGAAGAACCTTGTAGTCGCCCACACGTCGTGTTGCTACTTTGGATATCAGAGTTCACAGCGCAATTACTACTATTACTGTTGTTGTTGGTCTTGTTGTTGCCGCTACCGTTGCTACTGTTACTGTTGTTACCATGGCTGCTGATGTTGTTGTTGCTCCCTCCATTATTGTTGTTGTTGGACGTGTTACTGTTGTTATTGTTGTTGCTAGTGAGCGACAGAAGTCCCTCCCCCTCGTCCAGGAAGCGGTCCATGTAGTCACTGCAACACCCACAAATAATCACTACTCTCACTTATAGAGAAGTGATCTTGGGCGACTTAAATTAATACGCTAATTTTAAAGCAAATATACCTAGACAATAATTTGATTAAAAACAACAGAAGCCATGTTAAAAACGACAACCGCTCACATGTCACATAATCATCAGAGTACGCACAATATTTCAGAGATTACAAAATTAATAGACACATGATATAACATATATAAAAACAGTAATGAAGTCCTTGATCAATGACAACACACAAGAAACACTGCAATGCATATACTATAAAAAAGTAACACTGATTTACAAATAAAAAAATGTTTCTTCACAGAAATTCAGAGGCTGATTTACAACTTACGTGGTGCCAGGATGAACGATGAATTTCTTTTTCTCGAGGCGTGTTTTTGTGGCAAACATATCGTGTCTCTCGGTCTTTTTCCATAGGTAGTAAAATTGTACGAGCTCCCCAACAGATCTTGTCCGAACCTGCAACACAAAAACGTTTTAATATCAAGAAATATGAGAAAGCAGGAGAGAAAAATAAGTTTAAAATAGAGCAGGAAAGACCACGCATATCTAGCTGACTGGTAGGTAAGGTAGTAGAAACTAGAGGTAAGGTCGCCAGCCTCGACATCAACTTAGTTGTAGGTAAAAAAAAATCAGTTGGACGTCTGTATCATCTGGATCTCGAATATTCAATAGCTTATGAAATTCAAAACTCTAGAGCTTGTTACATCGATGAAAACATTGAACTAAAGAAACGACAAAGCAAAGTCATTGAAAAACTTTAATGGGGACATAAATTGTGCCCGACTTCGCTGCATTCTTATCATACTTTGTTCTGCTGGATGAGATGGAAGTCTTTGCCGTAGTTCTTAAGCCCGTTCTCGAAGTTCCTGCACTCCTCCTCTGACCAAAGTGTCATGGTGGAGGCCAGTGGAGAAGGGTTCATACTGAGGCGTCGACGAGCCTCTTCCACGTTGCCTCCACATTGCAGCAGCAGGTGCAGCGCCTGTAAATGTGCATGAGATGGAAGGTACGTGGTGGTGAAATGTGTACGAGATGGAAGGTACGTGAAGGTGAAATGTACATAAGATGGAAAGTACGTTTTGGTGAAATTTACACGAGATGGAAGGCACGTGGTGTTGAAATGTGTACGAGATGGAAGGTACGTGGTGTTGAAATGTGTACGAGATGGAAGGTACGTGGTGTTGAAATGTGTACGAGATGGAAGGTATGAGAAGGTGAAATGTACACGAGATGGAAGGTACGTGACGGGGAAATTTGCATGTGATGGAAGGCACTTAGCGGTGAAATGTGCATGAGATGGAATACCGTAAAATTTAACACTAAATAAATTAAATATAAAAACACGAAAACTATTTAAAATTCGAAAACCGCCCTAATTACTACTTTTTCTACATACAGAAGGCATGATTTTAAAGTGAGCACAATCAGTCCACATCCCTCTTAAAATTTCATCAGGACTAAAAGCGTCCTCTTCCATTTTTTGTCTACTGTAATTTCACCACATCTCAAAATATTACAAAAGAAATTTTATAGAGCGAGCATTATACAATTAATCCTCAGTCACCTCCATTGAACAGGTAAACTGACGTAGCATAAACAGGTAGAAACATCACGAGTCTGACGGGGTTATAATATATGAATGAATGTGGTCAAATGTTCTCATCAAAAGGGACCGTTTCCATCAAGCATTTGAATTTATCGAGGTTTTGATGGTGCTTGTAAAATGATCTTATTCCACAGCATGTGTAAAATTTCGCATACTTTCCCCAAATTACAGGTATTTAATAACTAATAGAAAAAGACTGGATCATATATGATGCCAAATCAAGTTATGGATTATTGTTTTTCATCTGAATAAATGGTAAAACGAACCTGTTCATCATCTCTGATGTGGAAGCCTAAAGGCAGCGCACCCACGCCCTGGGTGCCGGGGCTGGGTTGGTTGACAGCGTAAAGGTATTTCTCCACCTGCGCAGAGAACAAAACTTAGTTGCATCCTTTTTATTTCACGTTATTAATTTTTTTATCACACCAGTAACTTTTGTTACCTCAGGCCATAGGATCAAAACTAACCAAGTACATGTAGCGGTCTAAGAACAAAACTTGATTGCATCTTTTTTATTTCACGTTATTCACATTTTTTATTACACCAGTAACTTTTGTTACCTGGAGCCATACTATCAAAACTCACCCAAGTACACGTAGCGGTCTAAGTACACATAGTGGCAGATTTCTTGTCAGTGATTTAGTTTAAAAAGGCGTCAGTGCCCGGCTGCCGGGCTCCAAACTCGTAAATATTTTTGATAATAGGGCCCATTTCTTCAGCTACGAATAGCATTGACGGCCGCAGATGTATTTGTATAAAAAAGTTAAATTTTTGTCAACTGACAATATTCTCATTATCTAACTAAGTTGTGAATAGCATCGATGACATTGATACTGGTTCACGTCCAAAAGGACCCCTACTTAAACCGATTGTGAAACTTGAAAACCAGGATTTTTTATATAAATATCATGAACAGCGATTTATTTATCTGTAAAAGAAGGCTCAACCATTAAGCAGGTTCTTGAAACAAATTAAACAAACTAAATTATTGTCATCATTCCCCAATCTTATCTCTTCTATTAGCAAGAAGCAGTGTACTCAACACATGACCTGCCACATTCATTGATAGCTGAATGAACTTACTTACAGCCAGCAGTCATTGAGCCTCTACCACTTTCTTGGATAGCTGAATTTTCCCAATTTAGGCCATAGTTCTAGAATACAACATGTCATCTTTAAGAACAGCTGCACTTTCTCATTTTGACCACTTCTTGCGCTCATCAGATATCATGAAAATTTCTCCCAAACTGTATTACGTATTAATACTCCTGGTGCCCAGAAAACAACATGTCACACACTAAGTTCAAATGCACTTCTAAGGCAACCACCAGGGGCCATACTTTCAAAACTTGCAAAGTGAACGTAAGTACCTACGCTCTATTTTCTTGTCTATGATTGGTGGATTTTGCTTGAAAGGCCATCAATGATTGGCTGATGAACTTACGATCTCTTAGCATTTTTTGAAATTATAGGCCCAGAACTCGAACAGTTACTAACCTCTTCAATGGCCAGCAGGTGTGGGGCCCACAGCAACTTGTCCTGGTTCTCATAGGGCGGCGTTGGTCCATAGGCCTGTAGTCCCTCAGGCACCTGTGCCTGGTAGGCTGAACCTATCATGATGGTCTTACGATACTCTTCAGTCTCCCCCTCTTCTCCTGACTCCCCCTCTCCCCCACCACCAGCGGTGCCCCCATCCGCCCCTTCGTCATCGTCATCTTCACTTTGTTGACCAGATGCTGAAAAAATAATCAAACTTTAGAAAAAAATTAATAGCAGTGCTTAAAATTTTAATAAAATACAGGACGAAAATGATAAATGTGGTGGTTCGTTACAAAATGCCAACTAATGTACTGGAATGAATTTTAAAATCTTGAAAACAATACAAAATACAACGAAAATAACCTTACGCCTCAATTCAGCAATAAATGCTAAAATATATAAGCCATCTTGTTACAATTATCAATTTCTTGAAGACATAAGCCCCCACTCATCATTCCAGGAATCAATGGTAATATAGATTAGCCAATGAATATATAACTAATATATAGCCAATATATATTATATATATAGATTAGGTAAAATAGGTAATATAGATTATATATAGGTAATATATAGATATTATTTATAGGAAATATAGATTAGCCAATCAATGAAAAGCAAGCAAGAGCTAACATCTAAGCGCCCGATGCTGCACTCCAGCAGCGTCTCCGTTAGCCTCCAGCTCCGGGTAGAGCTGGATGAGGTCGCTCTCCTTGCGTCGTCCTCGCCGTTCACTGCCTACCCTCACTGTCTCTGCTGATACTGCACATAATATTGCACAATTAATACATACATAGGCTTGTTATAATTAAACATGAAATGGTTATGATAAAGGTTTGATTACACCCCCACCGTTCACTGCCTACCCTCCTTGCCTCTACTGATACTGCACATAATATTGCACTATTAATTAATACATGCATAGGCTTGTTATAATTAAAACATGCAATAGTTAAAACATACAAAGATTACACTCCCACCGTTCATTGTCTACCATTCTTGCCTCTACTGATAATTTTGTAAAATAATAACGTCAGTGTACCTCAATAAATTTTTGCTCACAATATTGCACAATTTATACACACCTAGGGTTGTTATAGTCAAAACTCGAAATGATTATGACACATGTTTGATTATTAGGTGAAACACGAGCCAATTACTACATGAGTCTAGTAGACAGTTACAAGAGCAATATAGTCATGTTACAAAGCTTGTGCTATATATACTTTTATAATAAACTTGTACATATATTTTCTTGTGTAGGTACAGATATAAATCATAAGTTAACATACAACAAGCCTCCTTTAGGCTGATGCCAGAAATGACTCGCACACCCAGAAGTGCTACAGTAATAGTCAAGTGAGATGTGGCTTGTTGAGAGGCTTAAAATGGTCAACTGAACAACTCCAAATATCTATGATAGTTTCTCCCACAACCTATTATCTAACTGGTAATATTTATAGGAATTTTTCTTAGCTTTAGCAGTGCCTTCATTCAGGCCCACTGAAGGGCAGATACTTATTTACAGGCCCACAGTGAGTTGGCAGCAAGCATGACTTGCCTCCTGGGGCTGAGTGCAGCAGTGTTAATAGCACATGCTCGCAAGATGCTCACCCTATCATGGTTCACGCTAAACCTGTCCCCAACAGCATTGCTGCTAACGAGCGGCACGTTACAGCCAGCCCACCCCACGTAAGCTACCGGCACTCCCCAAACCAATCAGAGCGCAGCACAAAGCCATCTCACGACCAAACAAGTGTGACGTCACAACCATTCGCCAACACCAGCAGACCAATCAGATATTAACAGGCATAACATTTACCAGCCTGGGACTGCTACGTCCAAAACACATACTAATGAGGACTGAGGCCGGCAGAACATATACTAGCCTTGGACTGCCACATCCCACTTCACACATACTAATGAACTAATCACACATACTAATGAACTAATCACCACACATACTAAGAACTAATCACCACACACTAATGAACTAATCACCACACATACTAATGAACTAATCATACTAAGCTTTGGCCAAAGATCAAGACTTATTTATCAATTTATGAGTAGTTAATACCTGCAAAGTGTGACCGTAGGCCCCCAGCAACAGGAGACACGGTCATGGGGAGAGTTGCTCTGATGCCACCTGAGATTGCACCAGGCGCCCGCTCACACACCTGCACAACAGCAATACAAATCTCAATACCAGGAGCATACAAATGACAAACTAAAAGAATACTTGGCTACATATTGCTCTTCTGCTTATCCCTGTGCATTATTAGACATTTGTATCATTAGATTTATATGTTCATTTAGATTATTTTATCAATCACCATTTCACATGCAACCAACATAAATTTATTGCAAGATTTTACCATCAATCTTACACATAGATTGCTTAACATTAAGGAATTTCTAGCACTGTCTGAATTCTGGTAGCATTAGAAAATAAATAAAGGAAAAAACTACAATGGAATTCATTGAGCAAGGAGCAAGGTAATAACACTCTACCTTATTTCCATCGACATCTGCTGTGATCATCGCCTCTTCAACCTCCTCATGCGCATCTTCCATGATTCCTTCCACCTCATCCTCGTCTTCCTCTTCCTCCTCTTCATCATCCCCCTCCTCCTCCTCTTCTTCTTGGGAGCCTCCAACAGCTCTCACGCCTCCATATAATGCTAATAAATCCTGTAATGGCATGTCTTGTTCCTGAAACAGGAGGGAAAAAACATATTCATGAGGAAAATATAGAGGCAAGTGCCCAGAAAATATACATTTAAATGTAAGAAAAACACAACAAAATTTCTAGCTGTTAAATTAATAAATCAAATCCCCTAATATAATATTTCTGCGGTGCCATTTTCTAAAAGGATTGTTTAAATACTCATTCTGATCATATTGAACATAATGATTGTTTACAAAATTTCTTGCAAGTAGCAGTCATCAAATAAATGAAACTAATTCAAAATTGTATATAAACTCAATGAATTTTTGCCACCCAATTTTGAGGTGCATCTTAATAAGCTTGGTGAAAAAAATTGTTGTGAATTTGTTCAAGCTCAAATTTTGTTTTTGAAAATACCAATATTATTCAAAACTAATTTTTTAATCAATAGTAATATTCCACACACAAAATACATTTGTGAGATTACAAAAGGGTTTTAATAATAAGCCCTTTTGAGCACATTTTCTCATTTATGGAAAAAAGGCACTATTGTGCTCGCCATGTCTGTCTGTCTGTCTGTCAAACAGGGACTTCACGTTTTCATCAGCGAGAAAATGCACTCTGTCACTCACTGTGCAGTGAGTACTGAGTTATATTTTTTTATATTTTATAGACCTTCAATTGAATGTTAAGCTTGTAATCAAGTCTCACTTTGTGCAAGTTGTTGATTTCTTCTTCCTGGTCTTCACCCTCAATTGCTGCTTCAGCCTCAGCTTCGTCCATTGTTCTCTCATCATCAAACTCATCCACCATCATTTCTGCTGTTGGCTCAAATTCTGCATCACCTGCTCAAAAAATATTATTTCTAGTTAACTGAAAATCAATCCTTAAATTAAACCTAAAGTTTTTTAAAGCTCTAGGATAGATTAGGGAATTCTATCAAGTTTTCAACTTTGTAAAGTATTCACAAGTTTTATATTGCAAAACTCCTTGCCTACATGATGACATCAACTCACCAGCATCACTCTCACTGCCAGCAATGGCAACAGTGCTCGAGCCTCCAGAAGAAGTGTTCATGGTGGAAATTGTTTGGTGTTGCTACAAACGTCAGCACTGCAAAATTTGTTCTGCTGTGCCAAACCCTTCCCTTACATTACCAAGACATTCAATGAAAAAAAATAAAATTGAAGAAAGTAACAAGTTTCTGAAAAAAAATCATGGCAATGAATTGATCGCAATGAATTGATGGCAGAAAAAAAAACAATGAATTGATGATGTTATACATAGTTTCTTTTCTACAATAAAAATATCATACTAAGAAATAAAACATTGATCTATGAACAATAAACTTAAAACTTGCTGTATCTTTAATTAATATTTTGGTAATTTTCTACTGCTGCCCCATAAAATGGAGCAACTTTGACCGTTTTGACATTTGAGAAAAGAAAACCAACATTTGAGAAAAGAAGACCATACACTCAAAAAGTTCTTGCCTTAAAAAATTGGTATTGATGGCTAAATCTAAAAATAATTGTGTTGAAGGCTAAAATTACACAATTTTTTTTCCCTGCCAATCAAATTGAATTTTCTACTGCCAATATACACCTTTATGGGGCAATGCTTTGGCAAGTCATGACAATATAAATTCTCTGGCACCTGGCACATATTGCAGTCCATGGACTTTAATTAAAGATATATATATTTTAATTAAATATTTAATTAAATAAGATATATTTTAATTAAAGATATGCCATAGTTTTGTTGCTGTCAGTGTTCATTCCAGAAAATCAGGCACAAGCCACCTGTGAACAGAGCAAAAATGTCTGTGCATGAAGTTAATTTAACATTTTCAATGGTCCTTTTCCTATTTTGTACATAAAAGTAAGAAAAGTTAGACATGTTTGCCTAGCATTTACAAAAATTGCTCATAAAACAATAGTTTTCACATTTGATTGTTGGAAAATTCTGCTGCCATATAATTCCTACTCATATTTAAATATTGCAGATCAAGCCTGCAAAGAAAGATATTTTTGATAAATTTGGAGTCTCATAATTTGATTAAGTCCTTTGCTTAATAGTAAGATAGGAAATAATTTATTATTTTATCTAGAAAGAACCTAGCTGCTCTAAAGTGGTGAAAAATAGATATATATATTCTATGTCTGCTAACAAATAACCTGAAATATTAGGCAGAATTTTATATTAATCATGGGTAATAACATGTTAAAATTTATCATCTAATTAACTCATTAATGTTTATCCGCTTATTGTTTGTCTCTTGTTAGGAGGCAAAGTCAACACTCGTTAGCTCAATCTTGATTATTATTGCCTTAACCTTACCTGTGTGAAGACCTCCTACCCAAACCGTATTGCTACTCTTATTCAATTGTGCTTTTCTTTACCATAGTTTGAGTTTGTGCGCGCCTGTTTTCGTTTTTGTTTCGTTCGATTTAAATGCATGTTAGCACCTCTGTTGCTGTGTTTGTTTATTTAATATTTTATTGTACTGGCTTCACACCAGTTATTGAAACCCATAAGGTTGTTGGTTCTTGGAGCTTTGGAGTTTAACCGATTTTGTCACTTTCCTTAGTGCTATGAATTAACTAGCATGCTTGCATGCACTAAACTCTCTTCAAGTGCGAGCAAACACTTCTTATACTGTTTTCACTATTTTCTCTCTTATTGTTCTTTACATGAGAACTCTTAACATTTGTCTAAGATTCCTCAACAGAAACAAATAGGTTAATTATTTTGATTATCTTTAAAGTGTTATCATTATTTTGATTTACTTGAATCATACTGAAATTCATTGCATTAAAACCTCAAATCCATTATTTTTAGGCTTAAGTTGTTTTTCTGTCTCATTCAGATAAGAATCCACCCAACCACCTCTACTTGGTCTTCAACTCTGCCGTTTCTGGTTTTTTGTGCTAAACTACTCCTTGCTTATTACATTCTGTTGCCACTGGCAATATATGGTGAAAATTGGAGAGAAAGACATTCACCTGAAACAGTGACTCATTCATTTGAATTTAAATATTATTTTCTCATATCCTAATGTTTGTAACCCAACGTTATATCTATGTATTCTACTACAGTGAGTTCCACATTGAGCTTATTGTTCCCTCCTGGCTTTGTTCAGCAAACCTCTTCATTTTGCGGAACCACTTCAATAAAAAATTCAATGCTTTCCGTGTTCTTTAATGTTCACTGGTACCAAAATTCAATAAACAACTATTCTACCTTTTCTTATTAAATTGCAGGAAAAATAAGCCATTTTTCCTATTTTTTGAAAAAATTTCACAGGGCCTCTATGAAATATTAGGGAACCTTTTCAGAAAATTTAAGATAAAAACTATTATTTTATGGGCATTTTCCAAGAATTGCAATCAAAAATTTCATTTTTCTTATAGGTACCTATGAAAGAAATTAGGAGAGAGCCTATAAACTTGAAAAGGGGGCTAAACTGTCTCATTCACAGTTGACTTTTGACTAATTTCCCAATTTGGCCTGCTACTGTTTGTGTGTGGCCATTTAGAATATTAGGCTGAGTTTCCCAGAAATCACACAAATGAAAATGATTATTTTACGGGAGATTTTAAAAAATTGCAAGCTGCTTTTATAAAGTCTACGTGAAATTATTTTTGCTGAGCAATGTAAATGTAATCAAAAATCTTTTTTGTTAATCAATATTTTTGTTAACTGAAGCCTTTGCAAACTGAGGTTAAACTGTATATGCGTTTTTAGGAGTGTCCCTTATTAGCCTGGGGGGTGTCCCTTATTACTCCAGGGGGGTGTCTCTTATTACCCCAGGGGGGTGGGGGGGTGTCTTATTACCCCATCACGCAGAAATGGCTGCCATTTTTTTTAATGAGATAGGCAAGTTTTGTCAATTGCCTTTTCAAGCCAACACCTGTGTGCAACTTTTATGCAAGTAAATTTTTTTAATATGGTGAATATTTTTTTTTTTGCTCCATACCTTAGTAGAGGTACTTTTCCCAAATTGCACTTTTCAGTTTTCACACATTTTTTTAGTGATTTTTTAGATAGCAAATCATGTTAATGTATGATTTATTAACTAGCTTCATACATAATAGATAGTAAAAATGTTGAAGGCTAGGCCACTATTTTTAGTTTTGCAATATTTTGATTAGTTTAGCTGCTACAACATTTCTACGAAATGTGGAACTTGTGTCCCGATTTACCCTGCCCATCCCTTATTACCCTGTTTGAGAGTATCACTTGTTCAGTAGCCTTGGCTAAGCAATGGCTGTTCCATTGGTCATTTAACACCCCCCTAGAATTCCACCTTGCATGCTCAAGTGAAGACAAATGCTAGTGACTGTTTCTAGGAAAAAATTAGAGATATGGGGCAACATGTGCAAGGGACTTTGTAAATAACAAGTTCACGGCTGGTAAATGGCTTTTTATGGCCAAGATACAGCTTGAAGAAATGGAGTCACGGCTGGCAAACCCATGAAGCCACGGCTCAAAAAATTCAGTCATGGCTTGCCAATTAGATATATTCCATGCCTGCAATTGTAAAGCAACACTAACATTAGTCTTTACTTAAGTGTGAACTGCATAGTGGCAAAGCAGAGATTTTTTAGTCGTTAGAATCAGTTCATGTTTAATTTCCTCATTAACTCAATATTTAAACTGATTTCTTATGTATGATAATGCTAGTATCCATGATACTTTACTGGTCTACTTATAGTAGGGTAAACACACCATTTTCCGACACCTTAAGGATGCAACAAGAAATAAATGGCTATAAATAGATCACCGTATGTGCAACTTGAGTTCTGATTGGTTTACGTCACTCTCAAAACACCACACTATGCGCCAGCAATGATGAAACATCACAAACTGTTGCTATATTTATTTAAAAGCTATTAGAATTCAAATCTACAAAATTGCTGAATTCCGACGTGTGACTAAACGTGGCATATTGTGAGACTAATTCCGATAGCGCTTCAAATCGTAATTTGTAATTCCGATGCCCTGTGTTAGAATTCTGATACCCTGTGTTACCTGCGTCAGAATACGACACAGCTTGGAACATGCTGTGTGTGTCTAATTTCGAGCTGTGTCAGAATTAGTTTTTATGTGTCTAAAACCGTCTCTTAACTTAAGCATCTATTAATTTATTTACCATTTAAAATCAGCAAATACAAGTATAATTGAAGGATTCCTAATATATTCACAGACTTACCAAAAAATGGGGTAATTTTGACCACTTTTTTTCAAAATGATTCCATTTTTTTACTAGATAAGTTAAACTTAAATTGAAACATGCAAAATACAGGTCTATACTCTAGCTTTACTCACCATAAATTGCTGGCTCCTGCCTCTCATAGTTTTGATGTAATTTAAA